TTGATCTCTCCCCCTTACCCCCACCCTCCTCTACCTTCCCTCTGAGGTTTGACAGTGATCAACGCTTCTCTGTCTCTGGATCTGTTTTTGTTCATCAGTTTATGTTGTTCATTATATTCCACAAATGAGTGAGATCATGTGATATTTATCTTTCTCTGATTTTAGATGTAATAGTAATAGATTACAGATGATGAAATGGAGGCTTGGAAAGATTGAAGGGACATCACAGGGATTATCTGGCCTAGTTTGGGACCCTCAGGAGTAAACTGATCCCCACCAGAACTGTCTCCTGGACAGGATGAGGAAGTCTCGGTGCTGCTTCTAGAAGTTAACTTTTCCTAGGAGGAAGAGAGCGTAGGCTGATGCAAAACCCCAATGTGTAGGTAAGAGATCTAAAGCATAGAGAGGTTAAGAAATTTCTCCAAAGTCACACAGATGTTAATAAGGGGAGAAGCCAGAATTTGCCCACAGGGTAACATGATTTCAAAGGCTAAGTTATTCCCACATTCCCAAAATAACTCACTTGAGATAAAGCAACGAGAGATTCCTAAGATATGGGACTAGTGAAAGGCAGCCACTAGCTGTCTCACTCACTGGACAGCTTTCCCTGGCCATTCTGGTCTGTGTGAGTTGGGAGACAGCCCATTGCTGTTATTCAGGGAGCAATTATACTCTCATGGCAAGTTCAAGGCCAGTTGCTTTTCTTCCCTTTCAACTATTTATTTCCCTCCTCTCATGAGCTCCTATGTCCAGGCAATGGGAAGAGGTAGAATGTGAGTGAAGAGTGAGATGTTACCAATACAATGAAGGCCCTGTGCATCCATCACCAATCTCACACTCCTTCCCTCCTCACCTCCTCTATCTGCTTATATGCTTGTTTGGACTATGGGATCCCCGTGTGAAAGAGACTCTGGTGGAAGCATTTATAGTGCAGTGATTCACAGAATCAAGTGGCAGGCAGAGACTAGAGTTTCAGAGTGATGGACATTTACAACCTGTGTCTATAACCTGTGTAACGGTGGGCAACCTCATCCAACCTTTCTAAACTCCATTCTCCTTGTCTGTAACACTGGAATAGTTTTCATGTTTATTTTATCAGTTGTTGTGGGGGTTAAACTAGACAGTGCAGTGAAATCACTAGCACTTGGCATTTAGAGTGGCTGGCCCTCCAGGGCCGAGAACGATGCTTTCTTCCTCTGAGGCTCCTGTGGAGAATTTGCCTGCCACTGGGACAAGAGGTCCGGTCCCATCATTGCCCTCATCCTGTGTCCTCGCCATTGCTATGCAAAGGGATTCTTGTACATAAGATTTAAATAATGCGCCTATTTAAGAAATGTTGACAAATGGCAAAAAATAAATAAAAATAAAGTAGTTGTTCCAAGTGTTTTTTCTTCCTCCACCTCATGGATGAGAAAACCTCCTTGACGAAGGTGAAGAGGTTTGTTGGGGGTCACAGCTGAGAACAGCAGAGCGGAAACCTCACCCCAGATCTCTGACTCCTCCTGCTGGGAGCTCTTCCTGCTCTCTCCCGGGCCCTTCCATGCCACACGGAATGTATACTGGGTGTCCACAGCGCTCGATCTTGCCTCCACAGATTGAAACTCACTCCTCATCCAAAGGGACCGCTCCCCTGGGGAGCCTCTACCAGTGACCGACGATCCGTGCGGTGAGCTCGGGTCTAGGCTTCTAGCCACTAGGAAAGTGGAGGGAGGGAAACGGAAGACGCAGGTGTAATTAAAGGTTAAAGGTAGTCTTAGGCGTCGCCCAGGCCCGGAGGAACCCTCGTCCCAGCGTTCCTGTCATTTGCATTCCTGTGAGGCTACTTCACTCGGCCATCCCGGCCCGCGGGCGCCCCGGGCAGTCCCTGCA